CCTCATTTCCTTCTCGTTTTACCCTTATCAGTGCGTCTGAATTATCGGTCTTACCCTTATCAGTGTGTCTGAATTATCGGTCTTACCCTTATCAGTGTGTCTGAATTATCGGTCTTACCCTTATCAGTGCGTCTGAATTATCGGTCTTACCCTTATCAGTGTGTCTGAATTATCGGTCTTACCCTTATCAGTGTGTCTGAATTATCGGTCTTACCCTTATCAGTGTGTCTGAATTATCGGTCTTACCCTTATCAGTGCGTCTGAATTATCTGTATTACCAATAGCAGTGTGTCTGAATCAGTCTTACAGTAAGTAACTAACTCAAATGAGTTCTACCAGTCTCCACCATTACCCAGTCGCCTTCTGCTTACTTCCAGACTTTCGGTGATGGCATACTATGGATGGAGAATCAGATGCGTCTCCCAGTCACTGGAGTGCGTCACGTGACACTGCGGGGATTCACGGCCATCCACAGTCTCCAAGTCTGTTAGAGTTGTTTGTAGTGACGCCTGTCATCCTGTGTTCTACTTACACGCACAGTGACATTTGGTTCCCTGACTGCACCCACACAAGTATCCTGAATGGCAATGCTATCGTACCGCCATGTTTGTGTTCGATCGTTCTTGTTTACATTGAACTAAAACAAGAGGACTGCCATATGTCCGCCTGACTTCATACACACTCAGCGGTCGAACAATATAACTTAACTTATGACATTTGCTGTTACTAACATGGTTAGTATTTTCACTTAATCTTAGACGTTGGGGCGGTGGGGTAGTCTAGTGATTACAACGTTCTCTCGTCACGCTGAAGACCTTTGTACAAACCATCCCCATTCACTCACTCACTCACTCACTCACTCACTCACTCACTCACTCACTCACTCACTCACTCACTCACTCACTCACTCACTCACTCACTCACTCACTCACTCACTCACTGAATGTAAGTTCATAATCGTAACCAATCACCAAAACACCACCTGATAAAACAAATACATGACAATTTCACGTTGAAAGGATCATAATGCGCGATGCCCGTGCAAATTGGGAAAGTTGTTTTCCAAGATGAGGGGTTTAAAGGGATGACACCAGGGTACATAGCATTCGGCTTTTTGTGTTTTTATCGAGACATTCGATATGCCGGGATTGCGTGCAGAAGACCGAAATATCGACATTGGACGTCTAGGGGCCGGAGAATAACAATCACTCACTCACTCACTCACTAACAATCGTCCGTTGCACGTCATTTGAATGTTCACCACAGCACCGTTTCACGCCTCTGGAGGCGTTACCAACAACTTGGATCCACCTACGGCCGTCCTTGAACTGGTAGGCCCAAGATCACAACTGCTGCGTAGGATCTTCGCATCCGGGTGCTCCATCTTCGCAACAGGTCAGTCCCAGCAACTGAAACCGCAGGAAATGTCCCAGGTCTGGGGAGAGAGTCTGTACAGACAATACGAAACCGTCTACGAGAAAGTGTGCTTCGTGCATGAAGACCTTATGTTGGACCTGTGGTGCAACGTCATCATCGCCTATCACATGCTTGTTGGTGCAGAAACGTCGAAAGATGGAATTCGAGAAACTGCCAAAGATTCTTGTTCAGCGATGAATCACGTTTCCTGTTGCAACGTCGTGACGGTAGAATCCGAGTTTACAGACGTCGAAATGAGCGCATCGACCATATCTGGCTTTAGTTGGACAGATTTGATGGGCGAAGTGTGATGATGTGGGTGGCCATTTCCTATTTCCGCAGAACCTCTATCGACGAGACCGGCGCCGTCAACCATGACGCTGCAACAATTTCGGCGAGCACTGCAGGAGGAATGAGCAAGACTACCCCAGGCTCGGTTCCGGAGATTTATACTGTCAATGCCAAGGAGATACGAGCAGTGCTACAAGATGACGTTGGTCACAACGGATACTGACGTCAAAGCCGCCGTCTAGTGCAGTGTTACAATTGTGGTGACATTGAGTTATGAAGTGGTGCAGCTGACCACTGACTCAAATCATGTGATATTTGACATCTGTGTGATTCAGTTTCGCTTTGTTGTCTCATTTATAATAAAGTTTTTTCCATTCTTAAAATTAACCCTGTGCGTTTCTTTCTTGGGAGAGTATACGGCTTTGTGTTTAGATGTTTTCATTGCATTGGACAATGTTTATATATCCATAGGTTTGCAACAAGACAAGTTTCTGGATGACTCTTGTAACCTTGGTATGCTGGCTGTAGAATACCACACATTAATTCTTTTTTCGGCATTGGTATGTCGTGTTGTTGAGTGAGTAAACATTCATTTAAGCCTCATCACCAATATTGCAGCTGCTCACCACTGGAAATGCTATTCTTATTATTGCAATAGAGATGACAACTATGATGCATTAAACATGCTCGTTGTGTGCCTGGACATGATGCAGGCTCTCTGTAGTTAGGTCTTCACACGCCACGTGAAAATCTATGCAATCTGAACAAATAGTATCTATTCATCATGAACGTATACTAAACCTTATGACCTATATAACCCTTAAAGGTTAATGTTTGGTCTAGGCTGATTATAATCCCTACAATTTGTTGTCGGGGAACTAGCGTGGGACCGCACACCTTAAAACAGCCAAGAGGAACATCTATCTGTGGCCATTCTTTATTCGGTGTATCTCATCAGTCATTTACATATCACAATAAAACATGAGCAAGGTACAACCAAAGACAATTTAAATATTCCTAAAATTATGCATTAAAAGTTCGGTACAAATCTCGCTGACAATGTATCATACAAATAAACAATTGCGTTTTTGAACAATGAAACTAGGACACTTGAGGACAAGTATTCCAAATAAATTAGATACCTCTTCGGTAAGGCACGTACTACATGTGTTACGAATAGCTAAAATAATCTTGCATGATCTTTGATATTCCTTAAGAACGTAATGATAAGCTTTATCTTAATACAACCAAGCAGAAGATAACTAAAACCAAAATAATAAAAAAACACAAATATTAATGCACAATTTCAATATGCTAGTAAAAAAATATGACAAGATTTTTTTTATCTAAATGAAAGTTAATAACCAAAAACCATATGCCAAACAGCATGTCATTGAATGTGTACAATGTATACATAAATAGAGCTCAACAATAATGAAAATATAGCAATAAATACGCAATTGAATAAAACAACAAGTGTTATGTACGCTCACGGGTTTTGCGTCTACAGTATGTTCACCTCGCTTTATAAGTACATTGTTTGAACATAAGTAACAAGGGTAGTTTGAATCATTTGAACTGAACACACACAGTAATTAATTAAAGGTCCATTCATTTACATACACTTTGATTGCAAACATTCAATAAAATATAAGATTGACAACAACTGCACAAGAATGACTTTGCTTCCACAAGCCCGACAATGTCTAAACGTTATTATAATATATTTTATATTCTAATTGGACTGTATTGTTAATTTGTTTTGGTGCTACATTATCTAACCTAACTATCAATATGAATTCACTTGTGACCTTAATCAATAATGCCTAATTTGAAATATTGATTATATTCAAAGGAACTAAAAACATACAATGCAATAGAAAACAGGAAAAATAGGAATATAGTTTAAGAACATACAACAGATATGAAGTGAACATGTCTTACCTTACAACAGCCAAGTGAAGCATCTATTGGTGACCAGTCTTTATCCGGTGTATATACATGACATAATAATATGGAAAAAGTTGGACTTGGTTTGGAGGGGGTGGGGTCCAGCGTCGGCTGGCGAGCTTGTGTGGGACAAGGGCCCTGGGAGCGGCTGGTGGAGGGACCCTGCCAGGAGCTTACTGGTCGCTGAAGGTCCGGAAGAGTTTGCCAGTCAGCTTGACGACTGTGTTGGCAATGAAGGCCGGATTTGTTTAGATATCACAATCCGCCAAGAACTCCTGGAGCTCCTGGTAACAGTGGATATCATGTTCGAACCTCTCGTCCCCCACGCCCAGATGGTTCTCGATACAGGGGACGGGGTGGTCTCTTGCTGTTCCAGGGGATGAAATCAGCTCTGCGACTCCAGTCTTGGGTGTCCATCTCCTCTTCTGGGACCTAGACCAGGGCAGTCTGGGTAGTGCTGTCGTTGAGGGATGGTCCTGTCGGTGGCCGTCGTATCTATCCTCGGAAGAGGAGATCTCGTCCTCTCGTGTCCGGTGCCCTCAGGTGTGCGGAAAGGCTCCTCCCCTCTGGATTCGAGGGGAGGGAGGTCCTTTGGTGGGGGTCCTTTGGTGGGCTGGGGTGTCGGAGGAAGGGTCTTCTGTTTTCTGCACCGGGCGTGGCGCCTAAGGGGCCATGGCCGTTTTCTCCTTAGGCTTGAACTTGGCCGGAGCCTTGTCGTGAGGTATTTTCCACTGATCCAGGTTGAGGTCTTCTTGCTGTACAATGTCTGCAGGGAGAAGTCCCCAACCCGGAACGCCAGAAGAGGTACCAGGATGGAGACTAACCCCCTGGGCAGGCCTTTGCTGATATCTCTCAGGATGCGCGCTGTGTGTCCAAGCCAAGGTGTGTTTGAGATAGCCTGAATAAAGACCGTTATTCAAGCCCCGATGAACCGAAGAAAATAAATACACAGTCTATTCTTATTATTGAATTCGACTACGAAAACAATAGTTTAATCAAAATAGGTTATATAAATCGTAGAAGACAAAAATGACGACATTGATAAACATTCCAGGCGTAGGAATACATACCGTGGCGGGACATGAGTCACGTGATTATTTTATTTATGCACAAAACTTGACGCGCCCACAAATTAGTAGGCAATCAAAGGGGAGAAGGATCAAAACTAACTTCAATCAAGGCATGTCATGTGGTACTGCAATAACGGGTGGCTCTCCTTGACGAACGCATCACAACAAAATGGCACGGTATTGATGATTTTAACATTAACACAGCAATACATAAGCATGTCACATTATGAACATTAAAATGCAGCAATTGAAGTGGTGTCTAAACATAGGAATATGTCTTGGGACACGTCGAGTAAAGGTGAAGGTCGTCAGGGGCAATCAGCACAGCACATAGCAGATGCGAAGACTGTGCAGTGCAGAGAGGCCGCGAAGGTTGACACGTCAAGTAAAGGTGAAGGTCGTCAGGGGCAATCACCACAGCACATAGCAGATGCGAAGACTGTGCAGTGCAGAGAGGCCGCGAAGGTTGACACGTCAAGTAAAGGTGAAGGTCGTCAGGGGCAATCACCACAGCACATAGCAGATGCGAAGACTGTGCAGTGCAGAGAGGCCGCGAAGGTTGACACGTCAAGTAAAGGTGAAGGTCGTCAGGGGCAATCACCACAGCACATAGCAGATGCGAAGACTGTGCAGTGCAGAGAGGCCGCGAAGGTTGACACGTCGGGTAAAGGTGAAGGTCGTCAGGGGCAATCAGCACAGCACATAGCAAATGCGAAGACTGTGCAGTGCAGAGAGGCCCCGAAGGTTGACACGTCGGACATCAGTGAGAGGGAGACGCATCTGGTTGGTCATCCATTGAGTCCCGTCCATATAGGTCTGGAAAGAAGATAAAGCAGTTGATAGTACTGCATTATGATGTCACCACCTGATGTTACCTGGGGCGACTGCCTCCGTGGTCTAGTGGTAGTGCGTCCGCCCGGAGAGCGGAAGGTCCGGGCTTCGATCCCCAGACGCGTCATACCAAAAGACGTTAAAAGATGGTACTTGTTGTTACCCTGTCTGGCGCTCGGCATTAAGGGGCTAAAACAAGGACTGGTCGGTTCGGAGTCAGTATACTGTGTCTGAGTGGGGAATTCATGTTAAACTGCGGCATGGTAATCTAACGTGCTGACTATCTGAATTTAGGATTACATCGAAGTTTTGACTGGGTATTGTGTTCGGTTCATTGAGGTATGAGTCGAAAACCCGATGTGAAAACTGTATGAATCTTTCAAAAGTTTGCACTTCGTTTTTTTTATTCATACCCCGATGAACCGAAGAAAATAAATACACAGTCTATTCTTATTATTGAATTCGACTACGAAAACAATAGTTTAATCAAAATAGGTTATATAAATCGAAGAAGACAAACATGACGACATTGATAAACATTCCTAGCTGTGTAACGTCTCTTTTTTGTGTAGACTCAAATGAAGCGCTTTTGAGCAGTTCTTCAAACTGGATACCGGCGCTATATAAATCTGTAGTTATTATTATTATTATTATTATTATAAGCTGACAATCAACTCACCTTGAAGGCAGACGCAGTGATGTGGATTTCAATGACGTAGTTGCTGACGTCATTGACTGAAACATCAAGCACATCTTCCTCTGTGCCCCAGACACCTCCTTGCCGTGTATTGAAGACGGCGCGTGTTGGGAGATCGCTCCATCTCAAAGACCAAACGTACACACTGTCCATGTTCGAGTCTTCAAAACAGACTTGGTTGCTGCAACGAACAATACAGACGTAGACAATAAGGAGACAATAGTTTTAGGAATCATACAATTGTGGAGAGGTTGTAGTGCAATGGGTTGGGTTTATTTTGACTTTAGACATTTAGCTTCCTCTGAATAAACATAATATCCAATTTGGTGGAAGCATGTTAATCATTACTCTGTGTCCTCACGACGCCTGTTTCAGGTTAGCGGCAGAAATACAAAAAATCCGTGCTGACACCCTGTACGCTTCCTAGACACACAGGGCGTAGTTAATGAAATATTATGAGTAAATAGTATATTTTACCGTTCAGACGTATCTCCCGACACTTCCAGTCTCAGGTTCATCCCCACAACAAGGTCAAAGGTCAGTTCATCTGTATATTCCTCCGATGGAATCTGTCAATAAGAAAGTATTTAAAAAATGCAAATGTTTTACAAAGGAACATGCAGGGAACGTCAATAGACATCGCTCATGGAGGATTTAATTTCTGTTACACTACAGACAGCAGCTTTGAGTACATCCAACTACTAATCCATCTTAAAGTATTATGTAATTTACTTATAAAATCCATTTTATCAATTATTATAGACCCGTGAAGACCAGGGGTAGAATAGATCTTCAGCAACCCATGCTTTCCGTAAAACGCGACTATGCTTGTCGTAAGAGATGACTAGAGGGATCGGGTGGTCAGGCTCGCTGACATGCATGTCATCGATCCCACATTGCGTTGATCGATGCTCATGATATCCATCACTGGATTGTCTGGTCCAGACTCGATTATTTACAGACCGCCGTCATATAGCTGGAATATTACTGAGTGCGGCGTTAAACAACAAACGAACCAACCAACCAATCAATTATTATAAAGTTGCATCGTGACATAGACCCTATACAACGTGACGTGATGTATAATAGAGATGTCACCATGTGAGGAGACTGTCGGTAGATTGTAACTGATCCAACGCTAGTTTATAATGAGTAAAGAAGGTAGGTTGTGTATATTTGTTTGTTGTTCCTGCTATATGACAGTGGTTTGTAAATAGCTGTGTATGGGCCAGACAATCCAGTGATTGACATCATGACCATCGATCAACACAGTTGGTATGGGCCAGACAATCCAGTGATTGACATCATGACCACCGATCAACACAGCTGAGTATGGGCCAGACAATTGGTACGGTGTCATCTAATCAGCCAGATTACCGAGCTTCATCCCACGATCTAGTTCGCACTCTTACAGCAAGCATGGCTAGCAGGGGACCTATTGTCCTGCCTGGAATCACCATGGTCATGATCACATGTACTTGAACATAATCTGAACCACTTGTTTTTAAACAATATTCGTGTATAACGCGGACACGTCCACGCACTCCAACTTTGTAATGACTTTGTAAACATGATTCAGCCAGACATAGCGTGACATCATTACTGTTGCTAAGTAGATTGAGATATTTGGTAACAAAGAAAACGATTTGACTAAAATTCAGCCTTATTCTACATGTATTTATCATCGTCGACAAAACTGACAAAAGAATACACATCAATATTGACCTACCATGGATTGTATGGGCGTGGCCATGAAACATGGCACACACTTGACTGGCACCACTTCCCATGATGCACCTGTATAACAGGAAGATGTGTTGTCTTTGGAGGCAAAGATGTTGGTGTTGCAGACATCTTTAGAGTCAGCGTTGATGACGTCAACATCTACACGTGCATTTTCAAGTCTATAGTTGGTACATGCAACTGAAGACGAAGTAGTCATATACAATTACAGATATAATGTTTACATGCACAAACGCAAACATCAGGGCTTCAGAGCTAGAGTGGAACTGAAGGCGAAGTAGGAATATACAATTACAGATATAATGTTTACATGAACAAACGCAAACATCAGGGCTTCCAGAGCTAGAGTGGAACTGAAGACGAAGTAGTCATATACAATTACAGATATAATGTTTACATGCAAACCGCAAACATCAGAGTTTCCAGAGCTAGACTGGAATTGAAGACGAAGTAAGAATATACAATTATAGATATAATGTTTACATGAACAAACGCAAACATCAGGGTTTCCAGAGCTAGACTGGAACTGGGGACGAAGTAGGAATATACAATTATAGATATAATGTTTACATGAACAAACGCAAACATCAGGGCTTCCAGAGCTAGAGTGGAACTGAAGGCGAAGTAGGAATATACAATTATAGATATAATGTTAACATGAACAAACGCAAACATCCGGGCTTCCAGAGCTAGACTGGAACTGGGGACGAAGTAGGAATATACAATTACAGATATAATGTTTACATGAACAAACGCAAACATCCGGGCTTCCAGGGCTAGACTGGAACTAAAGACGAAGTAGGAATATACAATTATAGATATAATGTTAACATGAACAAACGCAAACATCAGAGTTTCCAGAGCTAGAGTGGAACTGAAGACGAAGTAGGAATATACAATTATAGATATAATGTTAACATGAACAAACGCAAACATCAGGGTTTCCAGAGCTAGAGTGGAATTGAAGACGAAGTAGGAATATACAATTATAGATATAATGTTAACATGAACAAACGCAAAGATCAGGGCTTCCAGAGCTAGACTGGAACTGGGGACGAGGTAGGAATATACAATTACAGATATAATGTTTACATGAACAAACGCAAACATCCGGGCTTCCAGGGCTAGACTGGAACTGAAGACGAAGTAGGAATATACAATTATAGATATAATGTTAACATGAACAAACGCAAACATCAGAGTTTCCAGAGCTAGAGTGGAACTGAAGACGAAGTAGGAATATACAATTATAGATATAATGTTAACATGAACAAACGCAAACATCAGGGTTTCCAGAGCTAGAGTGGAATTGAAGACGAAGTAGGAATATACAATTATAGATATAATGTTAACATGAACAAACGCAAACATCAGGGTTTCCAGAGCTAGACTGGAACTGAAGACGAAGTAGGAATATACAATTATAGATATAATGTTAACATGAACAAACACAAACATCAGAGTTTCCAGAGCTAGAGTGGAACTGAAGACGAAGTAGGAATATACAATTATAGATATAATGTTAACATGAACAAACGCAAACATCAGGGTTTCCAGAGCTAGAGTGGAATCGAAGACAAAGTAGGAATATACAATTATAGATATAATGTTTACATGAACAAACGCAAACATCAGGGTTTCCAGAGCTAGACTGGAACTGAAGACGAAGTAGGAATATACAATTATAGATATAATGTTAACATGAACAAACGCAAACATCAGGGTTTCCAGAGCTAGAGTGGAACTGAAGGCGAAGTAGGAATATACAATTGTAGATATAATGTTAACATGAACAAACGCAAACATCAGAGTTTCCAGAGCTAGACTGGAACTGGGGACGAAGTAGGAATATATAATTATAGATATAATGTTAACATGAACAAACGCAAGCATCAGAGTTTCCAGAGCTAGAGTGGAACTGAAGGCGAAGTAGGAATATACAATTATAGATATAATGTTAACATGAACAAACGCAAACATCAAGGTTTCCAGAGCTAGAGTGGAATTGAAGACGAAGTAGGAATATACAATTATAGATATAATGTTAACATGAACAAACGCAAACATCAGGGTTTCCAGAGCTAGAGTGGAACTGAAGGCGAAGTAGGAATATACAATTATAGATATAATGTTAACATGAACAAACGCAAACATCAGGGCTTCCAGAGCTAGAGTGGAACTGAAGGCGAAGTAGGAATATACAATTATAGATATAATGTTAACATGAACAAACGCAAACATCCGGGCTTCCAGGGCTAGACTGGAACTGAAGACGAAGTAGGAATATACAATTATAGATATAATGTTAACATGAACAAACGCAAACATCAGAGTTTCCAGAGCTAGAGTGGAACTGAAGACGAAGTAGGAATATACAATTATAGATATAATGTTAACATAAACAAACGCAAACATCAGGGTTTCCAGAGCTAGACTGGAATTGAAGACGAAGTAGGAATATACAATTATAGATATAATGTTAACATGAACAAACGCAAACATCAGAGTTTCCAGAGCTAGAGTGGAACTGAAGACGAAGTAGGAATATACAATTATAGAT